GAGATTTTTATTTTATTTATTTAATTTTTTTTATAGAGGCATGTTTTATTTATTTATTTGTTTGTTTGTTTGTTTGTTTGTTTATACAAGCACTGGGTACAGTCAGAAGCGCAGAAGGGTGAGAGAATTCACCAGAGCCAGAGCGGGGAGCAGAGCAGGCAGAAGGACCGAAGTACGCTGCTGAGGGGAGCAGCGGGCGGCAGGAGAGGTCTGTGCACCATGTGGGACCCTCCTCTGGTGGCTGGGAGCAGCCAGGGATTGAACCGGGTCCGCAGAGGCCGCGGGCAGCTTCGCAACCCAGCACTCAACCGCTGCGCCACCGGGGAGGCCCCAGATGAGATTTTTAAAACCTAGGATGTTCTGGGATAGTATTATTGTATGATGCTGATTATTCTGAAATACATATATGTGCATGTCACAAAATTAAGCAAACATCCTTCTCCTTTGACTTAAGTCATAATTTTAGGTATGGTCATTTTCAAGTCTTTGTTATTTCTAAAGGTTAGTTGCTGAGCTTTGTCTTCAGAAAACTCATAAAAAGAGACTGACAATATTTGGAATTGAGAAGACCTACCAAGCCTATAAAAAAAATGGATTTATAAAAATTACCAACAGAAGGTTGAGAGTTAGTACATGGGAAAAAAACACTTAAGAGGATTTGTATAATATGTAATGACTTTTTTTAAAATATTGGTCTTTAATGATTTGTTTTGTTTTGTTTTATCTCGTAAAAAAAATTAACTTGTCTTTAAACTAACTGGGCCATGATCTTACTGGTGGCAATTTGCATCTTTTTATCAAACTTGGACTTTTGTTTTTCTCTTGTCTCATCCCCACAATGTGCAGGCAACATTTGTGCTTCTCAGGACAATGTCTTTGAATGGTCCATGCAGGAGGCCAGAATGCAAAAGCCTACCAGGAAGCCCACCTGGGGGCAGGAATGTGGAAACCTGCTTGGAGGACTCAGACTATGAGCCTCCCCCCTCCCCCTAGTAGTCTCTTCTCAGACAAAGAACCTCTACCTGCCCCAGGAAACTCCCCCCATCCAAAAAACTTCCCCACCCAACCCCCACCCCTCATAGGAGCCCAATTTCCCACCTGACCTCTCCTCACCCTATAAAACCCTGCTTCCCCCTAACAACATGCGTGACTTCACTGACCCCCACCTTGGGTGTATGAGGTCTGCCCGGGGTGCAATAAACTTTCCCTTCCTTTGAGAAATGTAGCCTGGCTCTCCTTTTCTTTACAGCGCCAAACCTCTCATCTTGGTGCTGCAAACGCGGGAAGGCCATGTCCCCTGGCGCCAGGGCCGCCTTCTTGTCCCTGGGATCTCTCCTTTTCATTGCAGATATCTTACACCCACCACCGGCCTTAATCCTTGGGGTAAGTCACCTGCCTGACCCTCCTTCCTGGGAGGCCCTCACCTCTGGCTATTCAGCTCCTCTCCTGACCCCCTACCTCGGTTGGCTGTTCCGTAAACCGTGGAGGAAGCAGGGGCTTGGTATGGGACAGGGGTACGCGAGGAGTAGAGACAAAGCCAGGATCATCGCCAGTCTCATTTATTCAGGAATGTGTACAATGTTATATAGGGTTCAGAGGAGGAGGTCTCTCATTATCTCGAACAAGGAGAGACCACCAATACAAACAGGCCACAAGGAGCAAGCAGGGGGAAGTGTTCAGTCGTCACAATAGGAAACTTGAAACCTTCACTCGAGCTATCATTCAGTACCTGCTTCAGGCAAGAACCCGGATGTTCAGGTCTGGGCCCCAGGTCTGGGCCCCAACAGATCCTCCTTTTCTATTATTTCTAATGGGAGAGCGAAAAGACAAAACCCCTCGGGGACTGCGCCTGTCTTAGGTCTCAGGAGTCACAGACGTGTGGCGATTTAGCACCTCGAGCCATTTTGAGTCTGCCCCCATCTTACCCGTCATTGGCTGACCAGTCCATCGCACAGGGGAAGGGGGTCTTATTTCTTCAGACTGAGCATAAGTCTGAGTAAGAACCTCCCTTATCTCGCATCTCCAACTTATGGTAATGTACCTGAATGGGTTTTGCCTGAAGGGCCTGAATCTGTTGTCTTACAAAGGTGATTATTTTGTTAAAAATGCAAGGACCCACAACAACCAATATCAAAAGGGTTAATAGGGGACCCATGAGGGGAAGAAGGTAGGGTAAGAGTCCATTGAGACCGGTCCAGAGTGGATTTTCAGCTAGCTCCTGGCGTCTTCTTTCCAGGTCATCTTGTAACTGTCGGAGTTTATTGCGGACAATTCCTGATTTGTTGGCATAAAAACAGCATTTCTCCTGCAGGACCAAGCAAATACCCCCCTTTTCCGCTGTTAGCAAATCAAGGCCCCGTCGATTTTGAAGGACTACCTCAGCTAAGGAATCAACCTGATCCTGAAGATCCTGAATAGTACTAGAAAGAGCATGAACATCATTAATAAGATGCTGAGACAATTTAGTATATTGTGAGAGAGATATGCCTAATCCAGCTGTCCCTGAGGCCACAGTGGCAGTTATACCCAAGCCTGCAAATAAGGGAATAAGGTGTACTGCTCTTTTACTTCTACTGAAAAAATGGTCAACTGTCGGAATTGGCATGGGCTCTCTTCCAGGAACAACGTCTATGTCGTGTAGAAGGAACCCCAACACACACTGACCAGTCCAATTAGCCGGCAATGAGGTATACGCCCAGTTATTCCCACAAATGAAAACAGTGTCCTCGGGAGGACAAAGAGGAGAATTCACCTGAGAGGTGACATTGGTGAAAGCGAAACAATTTGAAAAAGCTAGTGCGCCCAAGTCAAGAGAGGTATTAAGATCGGAAGTGAAACAATGCGCCTCAAAAAACTGGATAGGGGCTTCCCAGGTGGCGCAGCGGTTGAGCGCTGGGTTGCGAAGCTGCCCGCGGCCTCTGGGGCGCCGGTTCAATCCCCGGCTGCTCCCCGGCCACCAGAGGAGGGTCCCACATGGCGCGCAGACCTCTCCTGCCGCCCGCTGCTCCCCTCAGCAGTGTACTTCTGTCCTTCTGCCTGCTCTGCTCCCCGCTCTGACTCTGGTGAATTCTCTCACCCTCCCGCGCTTCTGACTGTACCCAGTGCATGTATAAACAAAAAAAAAAAAAAAAAAAAAAAAACTGGATAGGCTGAACCAAGATGGGAACCGAGAAAGAACAATTACGGTAGGGCGCAAGTGAGGAATTGGTTGTTGGAAAGGCCAAAGGCACAGGGAAACCCATTTGTAAACATAGCCAACAGTTATTGGCCAGTGAGGAATTTGTTAAATTAAGTAGATTGAAAGAGGAGTGGAGGATATTAAAAGTATTGTAGTCAATGCCCAACTTTTGTTTTTCAGCAGGAAGGGCAAGTGGATGGTAGCTAAGCACAGTGCAAGCTGTTTTAAGATTGTACTGACAAAATGATTTCTGGCTTTGTCTTGAGGACCTCCTCCATCGGTGACATGTACTGGCGCAGTAGTTGCCCAGCACATTGTGTCACCCACCTTTTTGTTAGTACCACAGGTGGTCAGCAAGGTAGAGGCCTGTGGCCGACTTGCAGGGGATGTCCTGATAAGAACAGCAGTATAATAAGTCTTATTATTATTGGCCGTGCATTAAGAAAAGGTCTTATAACATGAGGAGTGTACTGACTCAGCAAAGGAAGAGCAGGTACACTGCCCTCCATGTGAGGGGCCACCTATAGCTCTCCGAGTCATTTATAGCCGGACTTACGGCTGGAGCCTGCAACAGTGACCAAATATGCGATGTGGCCAGGGCACGTACCCATTAGGAGCGGTAGAGACATACACATTAGGAGCGGTAGAGAAATAGCCCCACCTGTACTTACAAGGTTTATCATGAAGATGTTGAGTCAAAGACACAATCTTGCCTGGATCCTTGAAGCCGGCAAAGGCCAAAGAGAACAGTAACATCTCAGCATAGAGGATGAGCCAGGAAGCGGTCACCATGCTGTAACAAATCGGTAACAAATCTGACAAGCCGTTCAGGCAACCATCGGGCCGGCCGCATCATGAGTCTGTGAAGAGACACATACTGATCCCCTTCCCCAGATCAGAACTGGGTCAGGGCCGTACCAAGCATTGTCCAAAGGGTCCTTCCATTTTACCATTGCAAATTGATTTTGCGTTTCCGTATGCCAGAAACTATCGGCCGCACTTTTCGCCTGAGCGTCAAGCCTTAAGAAATTGAGGATGAACAGAGCATGGTTTAGCGGGGGTTACCTTTAGAGGGGTACCAGGAACCATGTAAAATTTTTTGGATGGTGGTTTTTAACGAAAGATGGGCACGCTTGACTATGCCTTGTCCTTGGGGATTATAAGGGATGCCCGTGGTGTGGTGAATGGACAGGGTAGAGCAAAAAATTTTGAAGGTCTTTGCAGTGTAGCATGGGCCATTATCAGTTTTAATACGTTTTGGGATCCCCAAAATGGAGAAACAGTGGAGCAGGTGTGCAATAACATGTCTAGAGGTTTCACCTGTTTGAAGGGTAGCAAGGAGAAACCCACTAAAGGTATCCACAGTAACGTGAATATACTTAAAATTACCGAATTGAGAATTATGGGTGACATCCATTTGCCAGAGGGCGTTGGGGACGAGGCCTCTAGGATTAACACCAAGATGGGGCACAGGAAGTCCTGTCTCGCAGGTGGAGCAGGCTTTTACAATTTGTCTGGCTTGGCCACGAGTAATCTTAAACAAAAGCCGTAATGAGCGAGAGTTGAGATGGTGAAGGTCATGAGCAGCCTGTGAGCATTTCAAAAGTCCATGGATTTCCAGCCTGTTTATTTTCTCAGGCCAGGTCCCTACAGAGATCCTGAAATTTAGTCCTCCAAAGTAAATGATCTCCGCCATCAAGGACAGCCTTTACTAAGGTTTGCCAATCTAGGGGAGTGAGACACCCTTCTGCGATAGAATCAAGAATTGTGAGAGTGAAAGGGGCACTAGCACCATATTGGGTAATGGCGGTTTTTAATTTCTTTAAATGTTGAAAATTATGTGGTTGGTGATAATGGCGGAGGTGGCCTTGAACATCTGGAGCTTCAATAACAGGAAAGACAGAAGCCGCGGAAAAGGGCTTTTTGGGAGGCGGGAAAGCAGACAAAGCCGTGGGAGCCCGGGGAGGAGTTAAAATGACGTCCGCGTCAACTCCGCCCTGCAAAGGCTGCTTTAAGGTGGTATCGGCGTCACCCCTCCCCCGTAATGTACCCAGCCGCAACCCACCGCTCCCAAACCACTGTCCCCGCTGTGGAAAAATGACAACAATCTGTAACGTTGGCCTACTGCCCTTCTTTTGTTTTTTCCTTGTTGGGGATTAGTGGGACGCCTGCCAGCAATGTGTCACTGCAGGCATACTTGAACACATTCAGAGCACATTCAGTAAGCATGCTTGCAGCCTTGGGGGAACTCCTTTGTTTGCAGTGACTCCGATCAAAGGCACCACCCAGGGATGTCCGGGCATAGTGGGAAGGGTGGTCTGCTGGAAGTGCTTGGATCATTCACCACCTAAACATGAAGGTTGTCATCACTGTAGGTAGGAAAGGAGGCTTTCAGCCTATACTTTTGTTCATTCATAGTGCTATGAAATGTCTACTGTTTACCAATGTACAGAGACCAATCAAACTTACTGGACTGGCATATCAAAAGGGAATAATGCAGGATATGTGTGCCCTGCCAAAGCAGGGCAGCCCTTTCGTTGGACTCTGAGGAACCATTGGGGAATGACAGATGGAGGAGGGGTCCAAGACTGGGCAGGAAAAAAGGAAGTTCAAAGGGTTCTTGAACAAGTTGCCCAGACACAGGACCGGTGGTTCAAGCCAATATGAGTCCCAGACCCGGCGGGCTCCCTTAAGTTGGGAAAAAGAGTACAGGCCATGTTATATTCAGCCTTGCAGTTTTTAAATGAGACTAACCCGACCCTGGCCAGAAATTACTGGTTATGTCTGAAAGAAGGACCCTCACGTAACACAGCAGTCCCTACTGTGTATAATTGGACGAGCCTGTAGGGGCCCCCGAAAAAATGCAACTTGAGCTTGCCTATTTATAATGTTGAGCTTTCCCTGGCAGCCGCCCAGATGCCATGCCTTGGTCACAATGGCACTTTGGGAGTGGGCCAAGTAAATAAGGCACTCTGCAGCTCAATAGTCAGTGTGGCCATAGTGCCTGGTTTTAATGTGTCTGCTTCTATGTGCCCGCTGGAGCCAGGCGCTGTCTTCTGTGGCACCACAGCCTACCCCATGCTCCCTGCTGGCTGGTCAGGCTCATGCATTTTAATATATCTTATGCCCGATGTGGGAATAGTCCCGGGCAACCAGAGCCTGATCATCCAGCTCACCCAGTCTGTGTCCGCCAGACCTAAGCGGGCCATGATTGTCCCATTAGTTTTTGGTCTGGGGGTGTCGGCAGGAATAGGTTTGGGGGTTGCTGGAATTGGGACCTCTGTTCAGTTTTACAAGGAGATTTCGGCACGGCTGATGGGGGACATTTGTCTCTACCTGCGGGAAGAATGTTGCTTTTATGGTAACAAATCAGGAATAGTTAGAGATAAAATTAGACAATTACAGGAAGAACTGGAACGTCGGAGAAAAAAGTTAGAAGACAACGAAACATTTCTTTGGGAGGGTCTAGGTGGGTGGGTGCCCTATCTCTTGCCCCTCTCAGTCCGGTTATTACCCTCCTCTTGGTTCTGGCTATTGGGCCTGAAAAGTATGAAGCAGAAAAGAACAGCCAGGCCAAGCTTCCTCAGGGGAAGGGAAAGATTATTGCTCCCTGGCGGACCTCACGGACCCAAGGCGGGGAACAGTGGAGTCGTGCAGGTTGTCAGGGGGAAGCAGGCTTTTATAGGGTGAGGAGAGGTCAGGTGGGAGACTGGGTTCCTACAGTGGGAAAAAGTTTGTAGGGCGCAAAAAGATTCGTGGGGCAGGTGGAGGTTCTTTGTCTGAGAAAAGATTTATAGTGGGAGGGGGAAGTTTCATTGTCTGAATCCTCTAGGCAGGCTTCCACATTCCTGTGCCCAGGTGGGCTTCCTGGTGTGTTTTTGCATTCTGGCCTCCTGCATGGACCTTTAAGGGCCCTGTGTCATTAATAGGCTAGTGGCCTTCATTAGACAAAGAGTGAACTCAGTCCAGCTAATGGTATTGAGGGAGCGATATCTGGCCTTGGACCAACAAGAATCTCCGTAAAGGGACATAATTCCCAACATGAGCCCCTTCATTATAAAGTTGAGCAGCTTTAATTAAGTTTGGTTATAGCTATGCTATTATTATAGGTTTTATGTTTTATGCTTCTTTTATTTTTAACTGCGCTGAAAAAAAATGTGGGAATGTGGAATAACCATTGTTTCACCATTTTGTGTGTAACCACCATTTTAGAATTTTGGGTCTAAGTTTCGCTTTCCTGGAAGATGATTGCTGGAAAATGATGCAACACTCCTAAAATGTGTCTCATATGCTACCAATTGAGCTAGCCGAGCACCCAATATCAAAGGTCTCAGACTGTTATAGAACAGCCCCGATATTAAACGGGTTCCTGGCTGTGGGTCTTCACCCGTGCTTTAAAGGGACTTATGAATACTCTACTACAGACACACACAAAAAGGTTAATAAAAAGTTTATTTACAAGAGGAAAGGAAATGAGGAAAATGTACAACTCAGGGAGAAAATAGGGAAATAAAGTCTTTAATGTGTCCTACCCGATCCGACGACCTGGAAACCCAGTCACTCCCAGAGCTGGCCGGAAGCTGTGAGCTGGCAGAGAGCCAAAATGGGGTCCCCCAAAGCCCACGTGTCTGCCTTTGTATCCACCTGGCTGCTTAACCCCACCCTCAGGTCCCAGCCACCTTCCCTTTGGTGGTGATGGGATTTGGAGTTCCCAGTGTCTTTGGCTTTGACCTGGGGTGGGGGTGGAGTCCACAAAGCCTATATGGAATTAGCTTTGGGACATCCTTTTCCCCCTAACAAGACCACTCTGGTGTCCACTGATAAAAAAGTGACCAATTAAGGAAACCACGGCATCCCAAACCATCCGTTTGAATTTTGAGTTGTGCCCTCAACAAAAATGCCTTCTAGTAGCCAATGAGTAATTGCCAGCTTGTTTTAAAATTTAAACCTGCTTGTAACCTTATAAATACCTTCCTGTTTCCCCAGTTAGGGGCTCTCGCCATCCACCGCTGTGTCGGTGAGTGTTGTGAGTCCAGACTCTCGCGTCTGTATTAAACTCCCTTTTGTGCTTGCATCAGCTGTCCTTGATTCCTTGGGGCTGCCTTCCTCGTTAAAGGGCACAACATTTCCATGTCCCCAAGGAAACCATGGAGCCTGAGCCTCCCTCCCTCCTCACTTCCTGTGGTTTCCCCTTCTCAGTGAAGGGCACCTGTGTCCCCCAGTTATCTCTGCCAGAGACTCCAGAGTCATCTTCACAGACCACTCCCCACACAGCCTACTTCAAATACACTAAAAATATCAATATATTTCTCAATTCATATCCATCACCAGCACCCCTCCCAAGCCACCCTTGTTTTTTCCTGGCCAAGCATTAATCTTTTCGATGGTCTCTCTGCTCTGTTAAAAATCATATAATCTCATGTGTTATTTAAATGTGTTATTTTCATAATCTGTGTAATGTTTGTACATATTTGTTAGCTGAGCTGCATTTTCACAAGATATTATTGAAAGGATGAGTGATCAAAAGAATTAAGATCCCAGCTCCAAGACTCCACCCCTGAGGGTCTCTGAAGCAGCAGGGCTCCCAGAGGGAAGCAGGGCCAGCCTGCAGCTCCTGCCTGGGGGCCCCAGAAAGAGTTGCTACTTGGTGGGGGAGGAGCCCAGGGGCTAACAGAAAGTCCACCAGGCTTGTCCCCAGGGTCCATGAGGCTCTGCTGCCCCCTTGTGGCCAGTGCATGGTGGACACTGAGGGAGGGAAAGGAGGATGGACAAGGAAGCTTGAGATGGGAACAGGAGAGCAGGAAACAGACACACACACACACACACACATCCCATGCAGGATTTTACATGTAAAAACAGATGAAATGAATCTGTGGAGGCAGAAGTCAGATGGCAGCTGTGAGCACAAGGAGGATGTCAAAGAGGGTCCTGGCTGGTGAGGCTTAATCACTTGCTTATTCACTGACTGAAGACTGAGCTCTTCTTTGTGTTCATTCTTCAATAACGAAAGCTGAGTTCCCACAGGGCAGCAGGGGACACAGTCTGCATCTCTGTCCATACAGGCCTCACCCATTATCTATCCCACAGGCTCCCATGCTACGAGCCAGTTGCAACAACCTGGGTGTCAGGGGTTCTTGAAAGAGGGACTGCATGAGGGCGAGGGGGAGTGAGGAGATACAGACACTGGGTCAGGGTGCAGGCATCATCCTACTGAGGGTCTCAGCAGCCCTTTATTTATACATTTCAAGCAAACTGTGAGGGTGCATAAGCATATGCATTAAGGCAGGAAAATAACAATCATCACATCTTTCTCAAGAGCAGCCAAGGGTCTATTTGCCCTCCTGCAGAGGTCGTGACATTTATTATTCTTTGTTTAAAAGATGGCACAGTTGCTAAACAAAAGTGTTCTTAGAGCAGCCATTTACCTTAAACAGTCATTTTATTACTACCAAAAAACTTATGTGACCAAAACATTTCTATGTTTGCCATAGTGAACGATTAACTAAGGGCTGGGGGAAACAAAGGACAGGAGTTACCTGGGGGAAGGAAGATGCATTGATTCTTCCCTAGCCCCAAGCTCTCAATTAAAGGAGGAATTTTCCTAATCTAACAGAAGAGTTTTTCTACCTATTACTCCTCTATTTATCTCATCAGCCTAATCTCCATATCTAACTTTAAGATCAAGGAAAAATTCCTTTTTCTGTAAGATTGCTGATTGTTGTTTTAAGGAACTACAAACATTTCATTGGAGGCAGGGACTGAGATGGTTATAGCTTTTTGTTCCCAGAATGGTTAACATGTGACATATCACTAGTTGTAACATTGACTATTTCCAAGTGCATTATTTGTGCTGCCATGGTTATTAGCTCAACAAGTCACAAA